CCACAAGACGCTTTCATTTGTATGACTCCTTAACCTTGACAAACTATTAAGGTTCATCCATCTTTTTATCAAAATACTACCCAGCTGCGAGCTTCATCAGTCAGTTGAATTTGCAGGAGATAGAGCATTTCATAATGACCCCATTTTCTTTGTCAAGTAAGACTATTAGCAAAAGGGATATACAACAAATAGCAGTACTTTACATTTACCTTCATGTTTCCGTTACTGTAAAACTTCATACTAAAATGGACTGATTAATATCTTTGTGACAGTTATTATTTTTTAATATATAACTGAATGTGTTTTTTTCTAGTTATTTCAGTAGAGAATACCAATAAACCCCTATTAGTTCTGATGTGCTAAGGGAGAAGCAACTTATTTGATGAGAGTATGAAAATACATTCTTCTTAGCAGTAGTATAACAATAAGAAGACCCACATGTCCCCTCACCAAGGTTTTTAGCCAACAGTTTATCCCCCTTGCCCACCACACCATGAACAGAAAAAATGCTGACATTATCTCTTGAATCTGCTCTTGAAATAACTTCTCAGCACATTTCCAGAACCATATAAAGCTGCACACTTTACATTCATTGTAGTAAAAGAGAAAAGATGACATTTTGAGCTGGAAATAGCCAACAGAAGAATTCCTGATGGCTTCCTGGGAGCCAGAGCTTCACAATCCCTCTCTAAATGCGTAATCTATGGTCACAATAAAAGAGCAGGATGTTTATGTAATGGAATTTTTGAAATTATTGCCACAAAAATAGAGACTGGCCATGTATCATCACGACCAGACACCTTTCAGAGAATTTACGTAGAAAGATTGACGAGAAGTCTTAACTGACTCCCTAATTTGGTAAAAGTACAAGAATGGAAATGCTCTTCAAAGCACTCAGCAAAAACTATTCTGTTTCTCCCTTGGCTAAAGGGCCTCCTACTGTTACACTGTAGAGGGGATCAGTTAAGACAAGAATTCTTTTAAACTCAGAGAGGTGCAGATCCCTTTGGCTTTTGTGAGAAGACGAAATATTTTAAATTCCAGAAAGAGAATGAATGTCAATGGCTTGCCATCTGATGGTGATCTATACCTATTGATACCGATTTATTACCAAACCTGGAAAAAAACAGTGAAATATAAATTTGTAGCATTTTGTTATTAATTGTATCTTTAGGATATGTGTATTAATGAAAATCTCATTATTTTTACTAATGTTCACTGTCAAACTGTTTAAAAATTTCATCTGAAGAAAAGTGGAATGCTCTGAGTGCTTATCCAATAATATTTTGTGCATTGTATTATCCATGCTGGACAATGGAAAGCACCTAAAAAGTGCTGATTTTGTAAGTAAGTCTGAAATGTGAGGAGTTACAGACAATATAAACAAATGAGAATCTCTGATGTGTATTAAAATTATTATAATTATACAGCTTATAATAATGGATAAAGTACTGATACCACATCTATCACAGGATATTGTTATTATCATTATCATAGATGATGAGGATAATAAGTGATAATAATCACAGGAATGTTGTATCACTGAAAGGTGATAGAACAAGTTTAAAATACACACTATACAATAAAGCAGATCAATAAGAAAATATAATTTTTATTTTCTGTTGCTAAATACTATGTTATCACCAGCACCTACAGTTATCTCTCCCCACTTTCAGAATATTACTACAGGTCTTTATAATGTAATGATAGCAATGCTCACATGGAAATGTCAACACTATAACCTACCACATGGCAAATGGCATAAAATAAGACTGACTTTTTGCTCCATGCATAAGGGAGCCTGGTGAGGGCATTTTTAGCTACTACATCACCATGGCAAGTGAACTGCTTAGGTAACGTCTACAGTGAGAAGTCTACACACCTCAGGGCTTTCCTTTAGCTAATGAAGCATACGCTTTCAAAGGCAAATACAAAATTTGATCCAAAGAGAGTGCAATTTGGATGGTTGCCCCATGATGTTCAGCCTTTCAAATGTGACCCAGATTCAGCAGCAGCATTATTAATTCTATGTAGGCTTAAAAATTAATGAAGAAAACTGTGCTTAAGACATACTAGGAGATGAGCCATCAATTCTTGAAGCCTTAGAACAGTATTTTTGGGCAGATCACAGACAACATTTGTTTCATTATTTCCTGCAACCATATTGAATCGAATCAATGGTCCAAATTATAGCCATGTAAAAAGCATTTTCTAGGACACTGTTTCTCTGGCGCATATAATCCATTGATGAGAAACGCATGCCACACATGTTCTAAAATCTTCCTATACAGTACTCAGAATGGCCATGCAAAATTCAAGACACTCTCATCCAGAAGTTACTCACTCCTGCAACAGAGTTTACAATACCTAAACTAGTTAGAGGAAACTATCTGCTTCAGGTTGCTCAGTGTAGGCTGCAATGCAGCTGGGTAATCAGGAAGATGGTGAATGGTTAGTCAGATCATGCTATGCTCTGTGCTTTAACACCTACACACCTGGCATCAAGAAAGCTAACTAGCTGGAATCTAGATTTGGTATGCCCCAATTCAGGTCATTTTACGTTTGCACTAAGTGCATCTGATAACTGTACTGACACTATATTATACATGATCCAAAATTGAGCATAAAGTATATCTGTCTCCCTGTTGAACAATTTTTATTGGTGGCTATTTCCTGCTAGGAAACAAGATGAAACCTTATCACATATTTCATCCACCCAAAGGGTGGGAAAATATGTAACTTCAACCATGTGGACATAGAAAATACATAGTGGAAGAGGAGGGTCTAAAGTGCTATAAGGGAGTTTCAGTGTGAACACGAGTTAGGCGCTTTAAGGTCATGCCTACATGGACAATTTCAGACAGTCAGGAATTAACATAGTAATTTACTGAGCTGACAGGACATGAGGCAATTTTTGATCAGAAGCCAATGTAAAGATGCAGAAAAATCTCAGAAAAATACTAATGCGATCTCAGACTCTGGAATGACTACTGCTTTTCTTTGTTCTGCCTTCTTATGATGGAGTGAAGGAATTCAGTGCTTCAAGGAATTCAACAGACATTTGTCAATGAGATTCTCAGAACAAAGCATAAAGTCAAATATTCCCATATCTTAACTATAGACAACATACAAAAACTGTGTGGCAAATGATTCTTTCTTTGCTAATGACTTGTACACCCATAGTCTCAAAGCTAATCTGGAATTCTAAAAGGGATACGGAGCAAACAGAAAGATACAGAAATATAGCATAAATGTGTAGGACTGTAAAATACCACAGCGTTTCATATTAACTTATTAAGCTATTAGTTACAAATCCCACTGGTTTGGATCTTCTCTGTTCTAGACCATCAAGTAGAAGTGTTAAAATAGAAAGGGCCTGACTGACACCAATAAAAGACAGGTATATACACTTATATATTATGTGTGTGTATACATATACACAAAGACATTATATACACTGCATCTACTGTTACCCTGTCTTTTAATATATGTAATCATATATATATAAAACATGCATTATATGAGCTTTGGCGATGTTCTAGACTGCAGGCTCACTACCTTGAATATTTTAGTCCTTGCATTTTGATTACAAGGATTAGTTCTATGATTCTTGTTTCTCCCATCAGCCTTGCCAAAATTGTTACATACCTCAGAGGCTCAGAGGCACACAAAGTTCTACCCTGTAGGTCTTGACCATTCTCATATATCATTCTTCTGTCTGCATGTAGGAATAAAAAAAGTAAAACTTCCAGGAGCTAGATTGGCTTCTCCCTGCCTTCATCTCCCCTCAGGTTTACACAAACCGTATTCTTCTATGGTTATGCAGAAATAATGGAGAATAAAAATAAGCTTTAGGTCTTTGGATGCTATGTGGGGAAGGTGGAGGTTATTGCATGCTATAAAGCTTGCATATTGGATAGGTCTTTTTTTCTGCTGGATAACTAAATTTCTCCCCTGATACATGGTAGTTTTGAATGTAATCCAAGCTCCTAACCTGATCTTGCATGTCTGTGGTCTAATTCTGCAGTTTTGTTTGCAGGGTGGAGAGAAAGACTAAAGCACTAAAACTATCAAAATGTTAGAAAAAAATACCTGCAGTAACAACCACAACATTCAAAGGCTGAGATTAAATAATATGTGATGTTCTAATGGGAAAGATACACCACAGTTTGCCAGTGAAATCTTTCTGACTCCAGTCATAAACTCTTCCAAAAAGTGCTTTTATATACTGTTGCAAGTCAGAATACAAGCTCTTTAGCTGGAGAATGCTGATATACCACTAAGGATCTGGATTTGATGAGGAACACTTTGAGGTCTTCGGTAAAAAGAAATACTGTTTCATGTACGGGCCTAGAAGTCAAAACAAAAATGAAGTTCATCTAGGAACCTGCTCATGCCACATTTCCACAATCAGACATAGATTGTGAGACAGCATTAGATAATCATTTTCATTTTACACTGCCTTTACTTTCCAAAAAGCCCCATTGAGACATATGTGCTACCTTAGCTGCAGCTGATAATGACAAAATTTTCACTGACTTAGTGAAATAAATAAGTAGTTGACTCATTAGCACTCAAGTAGTTTTTTTGGTCTGCCAGAAGTAATGGAAACTTATCAGTCAACCAAGAAATATCAGAAAGAAGCCTGGCTTTTCATCCATTTGAAGGGTGAGGCCATCAACTTTTAAACCCAGCATTATTCTTCAGTGAACCTCTGCATACAGAAGATAAAACCTTTGGTTTTCATGATGAAAATGAAGCACAGAAAATATTTATATGCAAAAATAAACTCTCTGCAATACGTATTTCATACTGTCAAATACACACGCAACCATTTGGTGTTTCCTTGTTATAAAAAAAGCGTTTTACGAAAAGTGACTGCTGATGCAAAAAAACCCAGCCAAACAAAAAAAACCCCAAACACCACTGAATAACGTGAACCACACTAAAAATGCCCTTAAGTTTCCCATTGAATCACAAGCTCACCATATAATATGAGATATAATTCTCAGTTTATTTACATTCCTAAGCACAAACACTTGTTTCCTTATTTCATTCAGAAATCTTTTATAACTAAGGTGCCAAAGCTACAATCAGTAGAGTGCAGGCACAGAAATTTCCCTCCATGCTGCAATTAGCAAGCCTAGAAAGACCTACAACTTGATCCGAAGTCCAGTAATGTCATTGAGGAGTTTTTCTGCTTCCTTCAGTGGGTTTAGAAAGGGCATCTGAGGTCAGCAAGCTGCACTCCTTATTCTGTCAGAAATTCCACTGAGGCAGTACAGTATCAGTCTCCACATAATTACATACATCTTCTTCCTGAAACTGAGGTCAGTCACATTAATCGTACTTTCATGAGAAAATGACTTTTGGAATCAAACTAGCTTTGTAAAACAAAAATAAAATACATATTATGCATTGGTTATGGCAATGTTTTGCACTATTCCAAAGAGATGCACTTTTTAAACTTTTCTACTACTAGTGCTGGAATTGTTTATAAATGACTAAAGAAGTGCCCACAAACACTCTTATGTTTCAGGACTGATTCTTCTGTTATACATCAAAATTAGGAAGAAATAAGAAGCTCCTCAGGCTCACCTGAAGAAATGCACTTGGGCATATAATTTGGAAGGAGAGATGTATTTGTATCAAGTCACTTAAGTGTTTTTCAACATTTTTTATAATATCAAAAATTCTGACAAACTACATCAACACTATGCCAAATTTGAAACACACACAACAGAAATGTTTTTATCATTACTGCAGTTATCTAGAACTTCAATCATGGGCTAGTAGAAAATGTAATGAAAGGAAAGTCATAAATAAATCCATTTTTTTTTTCTAGGGAATTTTTCCTTCCCATATTTGCAATCTAATAATAGCAGTAAAATAAATAAATAAAGAATATAATCCACAAATATTTCTATCAAGCATAGTTTCAGATCAATCTTGAATCAATGATACAATCCCAAATGATTAGAATGTATTCATCATCTGCTGTATTGAGATTTGCAAGTTCACAATCACACTGTATCAGCGGTACTGAGAATGTCAATCACTGTTTTCCTCTGTAGTGGCTGGCTCTTCATTTAATAAAACACCTAACTGTTTTTGTGCACATGAGAGGAAAAGTTCCAAACTATGCAGGTTTCTCTGACGGACAACTTGATCGAGCTGTTGGGATGAAAAAAAAGAAAAGATATATCAACTTTAAGTAAACCTGGAAACAAATGACAGCATTTGTCAGCAAGAATTCAACCATATTCAAACCCTCAAATTCAATAACCAAATGCAACAACAACAAAGAACCGGAGTAACTTCTATGTGTGTAATTCAATAACAGGTTTTTTTAATGAAATATTTAGTTTTTTTCAGGAGGAAATGTACATAAGGCTAAAAGTAACCTTCCAACAGCTGTCAAATTCTACACAAGAAATTTGGAAAAAATCAACAGCCTAGCTGCTGAACTAGATAAATCTCCACAGCATCTTTTAAAATTACAGCTGTTGCTTTTATGAAAGATGCTGCTTCTGCTTTGAAATGAACACTACGTATAACTGGATATTCAGAAATTCAAAGTGTACTGTTAATATAGATGGCAGCATGTTCAAATAGTTCCCAGAGGAAAAGTGGCAATATTTTCTGCCTACTTTGTGTACTCCAGCCGTTTACTAGAATCCCCTATTGTCAAACAATGTGAACTATGTACTTGCAGCAAAGACAATGGCCCGTTCTTCCCCACCAAAAAGATAGGAACAAAAGAACAAGATGTGGGGGGTTGCACCATAGAAATAACATAAAAACATAGTTTACTAAAAGGTATTTGAATTTTATTGCTATCATAACATCAATAAATAAAATATAGTTCAGAATCCCTTTAATTTGAATTCTAAAGTTCAAATGTTAAACAATATCATAATTGAGAAATGTTTTCAACTTGAGTGTCCTTTAACCAGCTGCAAACTCAACTAAATATACATATTACAATGACATCGGGTTAGAGTGAAAGTAGTGGTACAAGGCCAGTAAGATGAAAAAATAATACCACTCAAGAGAAAGGAAGCAATGGAATTTAGAAGAAGTTCAACTCTGTTGTACACAGGTCCATAAACAATGCGTTGAACTCTAACACAAGGAAAATGCCAGTGTGAAGCCACCTGGCCCTGGCAGACTAGAGCAACTAGTCTAGCAGTCTAGTGGCAATTTTATGCAAGTGATGCATTTAAAAAAATATAAATATATCATGCCTCATGTATCTAGCACTGACAGCTTTAATTATAGGTTTCAACAAAAACTCTGATCCTATAGTATCATTCTGCACATGTACGCGCATCATTCAGCAGCTGATCAGTCACTTGAATGGGGATCTTGTTTTATAACAGATATACTCTAGAAAAATATTATTACAGAATGCAAGGCAAAGTTAGTGTTACCTTCCCACTTCACTTTGAATATGCACTCAGGGTATAGCTGTAGTGATGTGACTGAATATACAAAGGGAAACATTTTTATGATCCTGTCCTTTGCTGTTCTTTAAGTTCTTCTAACACGGAAAACCAGGCTCCGGTAGTTTGTGTATTTTGGTATTTTGCTTCAACAGAGATGAACGTGTCAAATCTAGTCACGAGGAGAATACACACATATTTTCTAGAAACCACACAATCACAAAACTCTCCTTCAGTAACATGTTTGCATGTACTTCTGCACATTTCCAGCTGTTGTGCGAATTTTTACATCTCTTAGCAAAAGCAGACACTAGTGCTCCATACGTGGCCCCATGTGAACCTAGCCCACTGATTTACAACAGATTTTAAAGCAAACCTAGTTCAAATAAATTTCAGAAAAGTCTGCTCTTGATATATTTATGTATATAATAGTATATAATAGCAGCTACTGACAAGAGGATGAAAAGACTTGGAAACAGCAAACTAAGCTCTAAAGAAGCTGTATCTAGAAAAGACAGTCTAGAACAAATGAACAACATAAAGGCACTGCTGTGGTGACGCATTTCTTCTGATTTGAAAGGTATCTTGCCTCCTTTCTTCCCTCTGGTCCAAAATATAAAGGACATTTTGCTGCTGAGTAGCTTGCAGATGTTTTTGTGCTCGTGTTGCATACTCCTCTGAGGAATGGGGAGACATAGTGTAATTCACATATTATCATCTGTTACATTTTAGCAAAGAACATGAGAAACCTCTTTCTCTAAGCATATTATGTCATCAAATTCTGTTGCTTCTGGTAGATATATCAGTTGGAGTAGCTGAGCATGAGAATGATTTTGAATGGCTTCCCTTTATTGCATGTTATATCATCTATACTCCTAGATAGTTTGTTACTGAGCTTTGACCAAGAGCTTTGGTTAAACTGTTTTCTTGCAGCCTTTCCTTGCATATTATGCTTTGAAAAGATCAAAGTAGCTTGCCAGATGTGTGTTGTGATATGCTGCCATTAACTTGCTATACCAAGGTAGCAATCTCAATTGTGTATGGCTAAATTTATTTTACCATTTACTAATGTAAATGTTTAAGTGTGCAGTGATTGGCTGCAATATGAACAAAACAGAATTTACTGGGGCTTGAGAAACATTTTAAAAGTCTCAAATGAATTAAGTATGCATTTGAGGAGTCTTTGCTGAACTCAAGTGGTTAGTTTGTAGTCTCCCTTTGTGAATAAGAAAAGTTTATTGGCTGTAAAGAGTTTATGTAAGCTCAACAACATACAAATTTGGAATTCAGTTGCCCCTTGTCTACTCTATTTATGTATAAGCTTTGCCTTGAGCTGTGCATTTTAACATTCTTCCATGCTACAGTAAATGACAAAACACTGAAAGGATTTGGGATTTCCACATAACACAAAAAGAGAAGCAGCAAAATGATGCTGGCTTTGAAAACTGCACGTGCAAATGTATTCATGAGAACATTCCCATTAATGGACAGATTAGCTGGGAAATATAAACAAATCTAATGAAGCTTTGTTATATAATATATTGTTTAATGAAGTGTTAGGAGTGGACACATTTTTATTTTGACCAGTGCCTCAAAATTGCTCTGCTTCTGCTTGCATAATATGCCACAAGATGTGAAAATATGTAAAGTAAGGTATTTTACATCTTGTTTTTCTAAACAGTCTTCCCTCTATATTTTTAGGTCGTGTTCACTTCATGGAATGATCTCATTATTTAAACAAACATAAATGGACATCTGGCAAATTCCAACTGAATATGACTCATATGCAAATGTAATCTGTATGAATAACATTTTACGGGTGAAGCATTCACACAACCAAATCAACCTAACTGTTCTAGTTCTAAAAATAGTAAAAAGTACACTGTGTTGGCCCAGATCTACCACGAGGAGGGAATTTTCTACATCACACCACCACTGTTGTTATTGCTAATCAATGTTTTTCTTCCATCATATGAAGCCTACCCAGCTGAAAGTTCCCAGTTCTGTAGATTGTGTCCTATTGGCACAGCCTTAATCAGCTCAAAGTTTTAATGTTACAGGATCACAGAATGGTTTGGGTTGGAAGGGATTTTCAAAGGTCATCTAGTCTAACACCCCCCTGCAATGAGCAGGGAGATCTTCAACTAGATCAGGCTGCCCAGAAGCACACTCAGCCTGGCCTTGAGTGTTTCCAGCGATGGCCCATTCACCACCTCTCTGGGTAACCTGTGCCTGTTTTTTACCACCCTCAAAAAGAGCTGATAAATAATTCTTTAAAACCAAAATATTATTCACGACTTCCCAAGGGCAGGCAGGTGTTCAGTCATCTCCAGGTCACCAGGGCTCCATCACACATGGCAGTTACTTAGGCAGACAAACGTCATCACTTTGAACATCCCCTCTTCCTTATTCTTCCCCGGCTTTACATGTTCCTGAACTTAAATTATTTTACGTTACTGAATAGTATCTTTTTAACTCTGTACAGATTTATTTGTTTATTAAGAAACGAAATTCCCACAGTCATTGAGACTCATTTTCAAAAAATGTGCTGATTCTGGAAGGGTATTTTAACACATTCACTGCTGTATTTTCCCTTCTGATTAAACCTTCAGTTCATTTTTGAGGTCTAAGTGTTATTCCACCATCTTTCTGCCTCAAGATGACTAGATAAGACTCCGTCTGGGGTCCTACCTCAGTCACATCCCTACACCACCCAGAATAGTGTGCCTTTGAGCAACGCAAGGCATGCTGTGAAGGGAGGCATGTGCCTCAGCAGAACTCTCATCACTGAATAAAGAATTTGACTTGGGAAATGAAAAACTACACATAATCGTGCAGAATACTGCCACCAGGTGACTCACTTCCTCCCAGGCTGCTCTATTTTACTTTAAGTCAATCCATCTTGCCTGGTAGAGCTTCATAAACTCATAGCTCAAACAAAAGTTAGTAATTATTCTTAGCTCTACATTTTCTTAGCTTTTATCATACAGCTTATATTTTCCATAAATTGGAATGGAAGTCTACACAGCTGGTGTCTAAAGTAGAAAATAGTTCCTCTATTGAATATTGTCCAACCCATTAGACAGTTCAAATTGCTAGAAGAGAAACCCAGTCAGAACTCTATAAATAACTACTATATGTCAGAATTATATTACCCATTACTAGTAACTAATAAAATATCTTATGGAAAATATAATTTTAGGTTTAGCTGAATATGGCTGAAACTGTGATCTCACCATACTAAAGATATGTTTTGCTATTAATCTCGCTGTGGCCTGAAGTTCACCCAGAAAAGTGAAGAAAGCAAAATTCATGTTACATACGGCTTTTCAATTTTCACTTTTGTATAAATATTAAGATGTTTGAAAGTGCATTTTTGAAAACTATTTCTTACATATGTTTCCAATGTAGAAAATGGTAGCTACATTTATACAAATACATACTAAATTATTTACCTGTACTTCAAGTGATAATTTGATGAGTAATGTACTTAAATGCAGTTCAGCTCACTATTCTGGTTCTGCAGTACTAACATGAGTAAAAGTTGCAATCTTCTTTTTATCATGAGATTCAATAAATAAAATGAACAGAGATTAAAAAAATAGCAAATTTGTTTAGTAAAAAGTTCTTAATTTTAGTTCTATTACTGGTATTTTTAATGGTTGATCACACATATGTACACTGCAAAATAAGTACAAAATAATCATCCCATTTTAAAATCATGAAGCA